GCGGAAGGAAGGGAGATCAGGGATCACCCTGATCTCTGGGGGCAGTTCGTTCCAGAGGGTGGGAGCTCCCACAGAGAAGGCCCTCCCCCTTGGGGTCACCAGCCGGCACTGTCTGGCTGACGGCACCCTGAGGAGACCCACTCTGTGGGAGCGTACAGGTCGGTGGGAGGAAATCTGTGGCAGGAGGCGGTCTCGAAGACATGAAGTTTGCTAGCATCAAATGAGAAATCGTGATCTTGTACCAGTTTGTGAACAGGATATCTGACATTAAGGCTTGAAGGTTGGTCTATTTATCAAATGACAGAAGAGCTTTTTAAATTCTATGGGCCAATATTTACTATAACAAAGTAGCAATAGCACTTAGACTTATATACCGCTTCACAGTGCTCTACAGCCCTCTCTAAGCAGTTTACAGATTTAGCATATTGCCCCCAACAATCTGGGTCCTCATTTTACTGACCTTGGAAGGATGGAAGGCTGAGTCAACTTTGAGCCAGTGAGAATCAAACTGCTGGCAGTCGGCAGTATTAGCCTGCAATACTGCATTCTAATCACTGCACCATCACGGCTCAGTCATAGTAATAGCCTCAGCCCATTTATTTTACAGCACATCGCATAAGGAAGTCTCAGTGATCCATGACATTCTTTGACTTGATTGGAAAGGAAATATTATTTTGAGTGATTAATATTTTGCTGTAATATAATAAGCCAGGCTAAAAGTTGGTTTATTTTTATTAACCCTAAAAGTTAGTGATGATTTCTTTTTTTTGTGTTTTTTATAGATATTAGTTTTAAAATGGAAGAGCAAGATGAGAGGTATGTATGAGAAAATATTTCAGAAGCATTTACTGAAGTGGGAAGAATCATATTGGGAAACTTTCCTACCACTTCGCTATCAGTATACCAGTTTTGAAAATAAATTCTATCCTCTACTTAGTGGCAGATTTCAAAATTATAGGAAGAAGTTCTTTTATAGAGATTATAGAGTATTTACTAAAGTTTTTATTGAAGAGCCAGATTTGACTTAGGATACAACCACTTGTTCAGCAACCATTCAGAGTTACGATGACACTGAATGAGGGGGACTTGTAATCAGTTCAGAGATTCCAGCTATCACTGCTTTCCTGCAGTCATGGGATCACGATCTGGATGCTCAATGCGCAACTCGTGATTACGGTGTTGCAGCAAGTCATGGTCACGTGTTTATAATTTCTAATGTTTTTCCAACTTTCCATAATCGGGAGCAATGGAGAAGCTGGCAGGAAATCAGAAATCGCTCCCACCACTTTTTCATCCACCTGCACATTGGAGGCCTGCCTGCAGCAGCCCTTATGCTTCTCCTGCCCTGTATGGTCTGCTGGTTCTGTCCCTCTGCCTCTTCCCCAGCAAGGCCTAGCGAGTTCCCTTTGGCAGATCAGATTCTGCTGCCTTGCCGAGCTCACCCTGTGCATCCCAGGGTAATGCCTTTGCCTAGGCCCTGGATTCCAAATCAGAGATGGGAGGAAGAAGATGGCAAATGTCGGGGGGGGGGGGGTGTTGAGTAGGCCACAGAAATGTGCAGGGCTGCCAAAAAGACAGAGTTGATAGAGGAAAGATGATAGAGCTGAAGTCCACGCTATGGTTGTTGATGTGGGCTGGTTACCAAGATCCTGAATTCTGATGGTGTGACTGATCGGGCACTGTAATAGCCTTAACAACCATTTGTTCAGTGCCGTTGTAAGTCCGAATGATCACTGAACGAATAGACGTTAAGCAAGGATGACCTGTAGCATAAGAAAATTATTAAAACCCATCTTTTGCCTACACTTGAATATTCGTAGCATGTGTCTTTATATTTCAGTTATTATTTTTATGTAAAGGTTTAGAAGTGTCATTGTGTTATTGGATCTCTGTGTATTTTTAAAAGTAGCTTTCCAGTTTGCAGCAATTTTATTTTTTTTTGATAGATGTTCAGAAGATCGCCTTCGAATCACTGGCTTGAGTGATGTTTTGGACATTGTTAATGATCTTATAGTGGAGAATGGCGTTTCTCCTTCAGAGCTGGGCCTTACAGAAACTCAAGCTAGAAAAATGGCCAGGTAGTATTATATTGATACTTTTAATAACTTTGATCTACATACCAATGATGCTGTGTTGCAAATGTCAGGTTGATGCACCAAGGAGCAAAGATTTGATAATTTACCATCTGTAGTTATTCTTGTTACGTATATACACATGAAGAAAGCAGCTTCATTGTAATTACACCTATCTTTGTGTCTTGATATCTAAAGAGTCACTTTCAACTTTAACTGTGTAGTGGCTGTTGATTCCGAATAGGGATGCTCACCTATCTGATGACAAACAGACTATGAATTGATCAATATGCATGGGCAGATAGAGTTGCTAGCTTCCACACTTAGGATTTCCACCAGTCAGTTAAATAATTGGAACTAATGTTTATCTCTGAATGACAATAGAAAAGGGGGGGGGGGGAGAACACTTTATGTATGAATTGTAGCCATATTTTTTCCCAATAAATTACAGCAGTTTGTAATATTTTTACTTTGACTTGGTTTCCCCCCCCCCCCTTAAATAACAATGGCCTTACCAACTTCTGAAATAATTCATTTCCACTGCATGATTCTAGAGGCATTGAATATTTGGTAGCAAAATATGCTTAAAGGTATCTACTCCTATCTTAGTTAAGAATCATGATGTAAAAAAAATAATGTTATAGATTCTGACTTTGTTATTTCAGTCTTTCAAATATACCATGTAAGCAGATATATAAAGCTGAGAAGGATAAAAAAGAGTTACATGCTTGGATGAAAAGAAAACGAAAACAGAGACTTGCTGAATATATGCAAACACTGTCTGAAAAACGGGCAAAAGAGCACAATCCATTCCATTTGAGAAAGATGGTAAGGCTATTTGCATTTAATTGTTAAAATACATTAAAAGAAGGAATTTTATCAATATTAATCTCCCTGTTATAAAGTTGTATTTCTAAATCTGAATGGCCATCTATTCAGAAACGTGGCATATCAATTATAAAGTCAAGTGTGAGAAGAAATATGAAGATGAATAATAATAACAATTCTAGAACATGAATTTACCCACTGTAAATTCCTTAAAAAAAGAAAATTACAGTGTTCCACTGGAAATTTCTAGCCTCCAGCCATCATTTTTATTTATTTCTACATAATACTTCTGGATCTCATGTAGACTCAGATATTTCAAAGGAAAAAGATGGATGGGGACTTCAAGGCATAATTTTGTTATGCAGTGCATCCAGCTGTCAAAAACAAGCAAGCAAAAAGACATATAAGGG